TGGTTCTCCCAGCACCTGGTGCAATTCGTGGTTCGTGGTGCGGCAGCGAATTTTATTCGACCGGAGCGTCCTCCGGAGTCCAAAGTAGGCACGATTCCCTGCCATAATGCGTCTTTGAATTTCTCTGCTGGCATTATTTTCACGGTCACCAGTGAGCCCAAATACACAGAACTAATCAACCACCTCGATTTCGTCACCGTCAATCTGAACTCGGGGTGGGAGGCTAACATTGTCTTCCCTAGAAGCTCTTCCTTTCAAGTATTATGTCTTTGATGCGTTGATAGCAAGTACAATCCGCCGAGCTTCAGCCTTCAGTCTGATGTACGTTTCCGCCATCGTCTCAAAGTTCCGTGCCATGATGTCAATGTCATCGGCGAAGCCACGAAGGTGGATGGACTTCCTGAAGATCGTGCCACTCGTGTCTATCCCTGCTCTTCTGATCACACCTTCTAACACGATGTGAACGCAAGGAAGGTGAGGGATTACTCCAAGCGCAATCCGAACTTTCGATTTGGGACGTGGCCAAGAAGGTCAATTCTTTCGTTTGGTTCGTACAACAGACAATGAAGCGGGCCGGACTTCATTTCTTCAAGCACATAACATATGTGGAACTCGATCATCAAAAATCGAAACCATTTCAGTGATTTCAAGTGGTATAGAAATACATCGATGTGTCAGCTGTTAAATGAGAAAGGAAATCAAGGGGGTAGTCAATTCTATTAAAATAATAATAACCTGGTTTATAATTCTAAGACTTCTTAGCACTTCTGAACTTATGTCTTTGTGTATCGTTAACTATTTACGTCCATTATTTATAAGTTTATAGCTGGATTTAACAAATTCATCACCTTGTTTCACACAGCAAAACATATATTAACGTTGGCATTTAAAGAAGTAGACATTTTTAACCGATATTTGCTGCAATGCAATGACCTGCCACCCAACTATTAATCCTTTCAGTCATCGGCTAGTTCATCTCTGTTTGTAAAATATGTAACACATACTAAATGAAAACTATATACCATATCAACGGAAATACCCTAAACTGCTATAAGGGATCCCATTTTACGGTACCATCTTTTTCGTTAAACGTTTTCTAATTGTTTGGAACTAAAGGGTGATACGGTCAAAATTTGGTCAAGGGAAAACGCGTGTAAATCGGTGAAATCGTTTATTTAAAAAATCAAATTAAATTTCTTTTTCAAGTTCAATTAGTATAAAATTCAGGAAAAATATTCAGTTAGGCTTCCGCTTTTCCAAATCCGAATTGCCGGGCCTTACGCTTGACCCCTGCCATCAGATTTTGTACAGCCACCTTGTCCACCTTCTTCGCCGCAGAAAGCCAGTTTGCCTTGAACTGCTGCTCGCCCTTAGCAGTTTTTTTTTGGTCTTCTTTAGGTTCCGCTTGACAATAGCCCAGTATTTATCAATTGGGCGGAGCTCTGGCGTGTTGGGAGAGTTCTTGTCCTTGGGAACCACCTGCACGTTGTTGGCGGCGTACCACTCCATGGCCTTTTTACCGTAATGGCAAGATGCCAAATCCGGCCAAAACAGTACGGAACAACCGTGTTTCTTCAGGAAAGGCAGCAGACGTTTATTCAAACACTCTTTCACGTAAATTTCTTGGTTGACAGTCCCGGAAGCTATGAAAATGCTGCTTTTCAAGCCACAGGTACAGATGGCTTGCCAAACCAGATATTTCTTTGCGAACTTTGACAGTTTCATGTGCTTGAAAACATCTGCTACCTTTCCCCTTCCTTTTGCCGTATAAAACTCCTGTCCCGGAAGCTGCTTGTAGTCGGCTTTGACGTAGGTTTCGTCGTCCATTACCACGCAGTCAAACTTCGTCAGCATCGTCGTGTACAGCCTCCGGGATCGCGCTTTGGCCGTCGTATTTTGTTTATCATCGCGATTTGGAGTCACTACCTTCTTGTAAGTCGATAGTCCGGCTCGTTTTTTGGCTCGATGCACGGTTGTAGAAGATACACCCAGCTTATTTGCTGCATCTCGGAGAGAGAGGTTAGGGTTTCGCTTGAAACTACCGGCAACTCTCTTTGTCGTCTCAGCGGCTTCCGGTTTTCGATTTCCCCCCAATCCAGACTTCCTGGCTGTCGACAAACGTTCCCCAAACACTTTAATTACATTTGTAACGGTTGATTTGGCAACTTTTAGCGATTTTGCCAACTTTGCGTGCGAGTAGCTCGGATTTTCGCGATGCGCGAGCAAAATTTTGATACGCTGCTCTTCTTGCTTGGACGGCATTTTGACAACTGAAGAGTGAATTCCAAAATCAAAATAGGAGCAACATTCTACACACACACACCTTCAAAATGAGGGGTGTTCAGGTTTTTTAAATGCAAAATTGAAAGAAATACGTCAAGTTGATATTGACCAAATTTTGACCGTATCACTCTTTAGTTGCATCAACCTTTGATTTCATTTAGATTCGTTGGTGGAAATATACCACCGCACAAATTAGGAGTTTACTGCATACATTTTGAAGCCCAGAGAGCAGGACGATAAATCAAACCGAGCGCTTCGATAATTGTAATACCCAAGGATTCAACCCTTCATTAGTTTCTCAACTGCGGCCAATCGAAATTTTAGGCTCAAATCCCAACACAAAGATCTACTTCAATTACTAAAAAACGTGGAAAGATTGATCTAAACGGCAAAGGAGGGGCTAAACAGGATCCAAACAAACTTTGTTAGACCACTATGGCCACCCGCGCAAAAACGAATAGCTCGATACCTTAAATTGGTATGGATGAGCCCGACATTTGGGTGGTATTTTGCATGAATTTTTTTGGTATTATTGTTTGGTATTTACAGCTTATGTCAGGCTGATAAATACCAAATTTTGGTATGAGGAGCAGAATTAGTTTTTCATAAGTTATTTTCTCCTGCTCGGGTAAGGTCCCAGGCTGGAACTCCCAGCTTGCTGTGGCAATGTTACCAAGAACTAATTTTTTTTCAAGCAACCTTTTATTTATAAATGAATGTAATCGTTTGGATCTATTTTACGTAAGATTAGTGTACTAGTTTTGACACTGGTGGTCCAGCCCTAGGGCCTAAATAAAATTTGAAATAAATGTTCATGGTTTTATTTGCGTAGATCGAAGCACATCGCGATTCGATCCTGCATGCTCGATACGAAAATCTCTGCCTAACAAAATACGATTGCGTGGTTATGGACGACGAAACGTTACTGCCTGGCAGTTTTCGATAAAATTCCTGGGCAGGAATTTGACAGGCTTGTGAACGAACGTCACGTTTATTTTCGCTGATCTAATTTTTTTCACTATTTGGGTGCTGCTCGAGTGATTTTTTTTTTGAGATCAACAAGACTTTGACTCTACCTAGAAGTCAAGCAAATAGAGATCTGAAGTTTGTCTCATAAGGGCTGTACTGCAATGGCTGCTTCTGAGCCCCGGGCAGCGTGTATTTTTACAAGTGGCTTTGAAACCAAGGTGGAGCTTCAAATGAACTTGTGACTTCACGATATTATGATGGAGGTATGGCGGATCGCTGAACCTATCAAAGGAGAGCATTACTCTTGGAATTTCAGACAGATGAACCAGAATGGTATATGTTGGTTCCTGTCAAGAAGTGGATTATCTACAATTGGGATTGCTACGCTGAAAAGTGGCATAGCGTCTAGTTGCAGACTTGGTGAGATCGTTCTTTTTATCGTTTTTTGTCAGTTTGTACTTTGCATCCGTGAATCCATGTTTGAGGTTGATGATGTGCCCACGACTTGAGAAGGAGTAGACTGTGCGTGTGATCGAACGGGACTTTTTTTTCGTGCAGTTTTTTTTTTATTATTTATAATTGGTTGCTGATCTGGTCAAAACCAGGCCCAGGAGTTTGTCAGCGAGTTCATTAAGATAGAAGAAGTCCTGCGAGAGCTGCATCTCATTGTATCCATTGTATTGTATGTAAAATCATTCTACCTCTCTGTTATTTCCCACTGGAAAGCTGTTCCGAAGACAAGTAGAACCTCCATGAGGCGTCCCATCATTCGTCCCATCATTAGTTCCAGCATTCGTCTCAGCGTTGAGTCGCAGCGCTGAACCTGACAATTGGCCACGAAAAGGCTTGCCAATGCACATACACTTAGAAAAATTAATGTAAATTTAGATGCTCTGAGAGCGACATTGACATAAATTTGAGTAATAACAGATGCGAAATATAGCTCAATCACACGTACTCTTCGTCGAGCAACGAAGTTTTCAGTCTCGAGGTACGACATGTTTGTTTACGTCTCATCTTTTAAATAAGTTATTTCCAAGTGTGCATCAAAAATCGACTACATACATCCGACCATTTTTTATCTCAAATCGAGGAAAGACATTTCGCTCAACTACCATAAACTGGACTAGTTTATGTCATCAAGCTTCGTCTACAATTTGGACTTCTACATCAACACATAGCAAGCTGCCTTCAGGTTCAATTGGCTAAACTTGGTGAGTTCGTTGCATTTTGTTTAAATTTTTATCCAGTAACGTTGGGGAATCACTTTTTTGTGGTGCGTTACTGGTATAAGATCTACCACCAAACCCTAGTCGTGATAACTTCAAACTGGGGAATCAGGATTTTCCAGTAATCAAAGGATAACATTTTAGTTCTTGTTACTTTTTATGACTTAATAATAGTGACAAGACTCGGGTAGTGACCACCGCCGTTATGCATTCATGTACTGTATATTTCAATTCAAAAATATTGTTTATGTTCATAGAGTTTACATAATCCTTTTCCCTTTGTCCTTCTCCTTTTCATTTCCCTCTTCTCTTTTCAGAAACCAAGTAATGGCGCTATAGCCATAAGCCATAAAAGGCTAGGACAAGAGTTAGTGCTCATGTCCCAATTGTCAAAAGGAAATGGAACATCACTTAACCTTTCTAGCTTTGATGCTTCCAACGACCAACCAATTATATAATTACCAAAATCGGAACGTACGGTACAAGATGTCCACGTTTCTTCCATTTACAGTAGCCGTTCGCTAATTGGGGCACGACTGCACCCCAATTATCGAATGGCATTCGCTAATTGGGGGGTGTCGACAAGTGTCAAAGTTGACCGGGGGGCGCTTGACTCGTTTGTTTTGGTTTTCAGTCTTTCGTCTGCTTAACTGATGCTGTGAGCAGCTACTTAGTTTTTGTCTTGCGTGAGTGTAAATTGAGTGAATCGATTGAATATTTTGTTGAGTTATTTCCGGCGCTGGTAAATATTTGTGCATTCATACGTTGTTTGTAATGTTGTAGCAATTATCCTCCTGAAATTTGTTCAGCTTTCACAATGGAAGGAGTATCAGCTTCCAGTTCCGGAGTGGATAATAAGCAAGTCGTGAAACGGAAGCACACTACGCTTACCTTGGCTCAGAAGGTGAGAATAATCGAGGAATTTGAAGCAGGAAACGGTTCCCACGAAATGTTAGGCAAAAGGTTTGGTGTCAGAGCATCCTCGGTCGGTCGATTTTTGAAAAATAAGGAGTCAATTCGGATGAAACTAGAAAAATTCAGAGAACATGGCGTGGAAAATCGAAAAACGATGAAGGAGCAGAATTTTCCCTTAATGGAGGAAGCGCTTTACCTATGGGTTTTGCAACAACGTGAGGCTAATATTATTGTCACATTGGATGTGATCAAGGCCAAAGCAGAACAACTGTTCCAATGCTTTCAAGATCTTGGTGTTTATCTGGATCTTGCTTTTTTGATTTCGGATGGCTGGGTGCGCCGTTTTAAACAGCGTTTCGGATTACGTGTTTTGGTGGTGGCAGGAGAGAAAGCTTCCGCGGATAGAGAAGCGTACCTTAAATTCAAGGAAGTGCTCATGAAGAAAGTATTGGAAATGAATGTGACAAAAGCCCAAATTTTTAATGCAGATGAATCAGCACTTTTCACCAAGCTGATGGCATCACGCACTATCGCATTATGGGACGAGACAGTCGCTTCGGGACGAAAGCTCAACAAAACCCGATTCACATTCATGCCGTGCTCGAACATGGATGGTTCTCTCAAAATGAAACTGATGTTCATTGGGGTAGCCGAGAACCCCCGTGGATTTCCTCGTGGCTTTCAGCAATCATTACCGGTATCCTACTACAATTCCAAAAAAGCTTGGATGACACGTCAGTTGTTCCGTACCTGGTTTTATGACGAGTTCATTCCCGCTGTCCGGAAGTTCTCTGCTGAGCACGATTTGGAACCGTCAGCGCTTTTGGTTCTGGATAACTGTACTGCTCACTACGATGGATGCGATGATTTGAAGAGTGATGATGGATTAATTCAAGTGATGTACCTTCCACCAAATGTGACAGCAGAATGCCAGCCGATGGATCAGTCGGTGATCAACGCAATCAAAACCAGGTACAAACGGAAGCTGATGCTTAAGCTTGTTTTGGAAAACGAAGATTTGCCCTTGGAACAACGGGTGAATAATGTGTCCTTACGGCAGAGTATTGATTGGATTGCTGAAGCTTGGGACGAAATCAGTCAGGTTACCATTGAAAATTCCTGGAAAAAGTTGTTCGATGAGTTTCCAGGTTGTGAATGGAGCATGTCTGAACAGGCGGAGGATCTTTTTGCTGATTTCAAGTCCCTTGTAGCATCAATTGATGGCATAGCCGGAACAAACACAACCGACGAGCAAATCCAGCTTTGGCTTGAGGATCGAGTAGTAGATTCCAATGGTACAACAGTTTCAATAACCAGCGAAGTGTTCAGAGACGAAGAAATAGTCAGCGCAGTTTTGAATAAAGCAGACGATTTAACTTTCACGGAGGAAGAATGGTTGGATACCACCCCGGAGGCTTTGAACGGAAGTGCCCTCGCTACTGAAAACGAAGAACCCGAAGACATCGATTTTCCAACCGCGATGAAGTCGCTTGATAACGTGATCCAATTCGTACAGAACAATCCCGCTCAGACTTTGAAACTGAAAACCCTGCGAACTGAATTGCTGGAAGCAGAGTGGAAGAGACGCAATCTGTAACTGTTTTGTTTTAATTTGCTTATTTATGAATTAAATTGATTTTTTACAACAAATATTTTGTTTTTCGTTATTTTTTATCAATCATTGAAAGACCCCCCAAAAAATATGACATCAAAACGTCAGCATGATTTTGACATCAGATTTTGACGGATGACTGCTTTTTAATTGGGTCGCGCCCCAATTAGCGAACCCCCAATTAGCGAACTTCCACTGTATTGGATTCTGAAGCATCGTGTTTAAATCTTCGATTCAAACAGGCCCGATGTTTTCTGAATCATCTTGCCCCTTAAATGCTGCACAGTAGGCCTGGCCGTTTTGATATGTGTGACGCATCTTCGATGTGAAGCATATACCAAATAGACAAGAAAAATGATGGAGGTATTTATATCCATCATTTTCCAGGATGCTTTCATGAACTGGCTGCGTTGGTGTTAGATTAGATTAGATTAGATGGTTTTATTTGCGTAGATCTGTGGCAAAACATATAGTGGCTGAAAGTCTCGATAATAAAGAAAACTAACTAAACTAACAATGTAAGAACTTTGTATCGAAAAAAAAATTAAAATAATGTGAAAATGTGAAATTTTACATAGGGCCGTTTCGATTACCATAAGGGCCTAAAACTGGCTCATTTACCCTAGTTTTATTTCTAATTTTTTTTAGAAAAAAATTGACTTTTTATGTAAACGTTTATATCCATAAACAAAATATTTCATGCTGAAATAACATTCATAAGTTGACTTACTAAGAGCACAGTGATCAATACTACTGGTTAATAATGCTCTTGATTTTCTTCTGACCGACTTGAAGATAATAGTTTAAAAAATCCTTTGATGAGCCCCCTGTAGAGCTAGTCGAAAAAGAATGGCCGCATTACCTTGACAATTTACAAATCGCCTTTTCGGTCACTCTGTAGCTCTTTACCCCTATGAGAAATTCTCACTGGTACCGTGAGAGAGTGAAGAGATAAGACAAAGTACGCTAGATTTGACGCACAGACTGTCAGATGCTTATGGCACAGACAAACAGACGTAACACTTCATTGTGTATCTTCGTTCACGCATTTAACGGTTGATTTGAATATTATCAGTTCCGCGTCGTAGCACTGCCATCGGATTACTTTGACGTTTCTATACATTCTATAGAATTTTTATGCAATATTGTTTGCGAGTTAGCGAGCAAGCTTGTTTAAGGCCGAGAGATGTAGTTACTGAGGTCCTATGTTTTAAGATACTATGTTTTCAAGAAAAACTTTTTCAAAGAGTACTTTAGCATAGGAGTAAAGAGTTGCAGAGTCGTCGTCAACGTAAATGTTTACTGAGCATTCAACCATATATGTGCTTCTCTGTCATAAGAATTAATGTCGCAAACGTAAACAATGACTTTTCCGCCAAAATCTCGAGAATGAAGAACCACTCAAGCATACCACCACAATGATTATATAGAGGGAAAGTCTCCCTATTCGATAGAATTGGTGGCTTACATGTATTGACTTTGAACTACGAGAAATTTACGAAAAAAAAACTATTGAAATTGGCTCACTACTTGACTAGCCTATTGGTCCCAAGCAAACGATTAACGTACCCCATTCCAGTCGAAATTCTAGTACTACACAATGTTTGTTTTGATTAGATATGAAAGTTTGACAGATAAAATGAGGGGTTCATGGATTTTCCTATGTTTCGAGGCGTGAATAAGGGACCGAAGAGAGTACCAGAGCTGAGCCAAAAAGTTGAGCACGTTTCTTCGGGACCTTCTAGTCTTAGAGTTACCTCTATGGTTGTACGCAATGGTGACGTAGGACTACGTGGTCTTATATAATAAATCTTATTTTTTAACTGTAGCAGGAGCTTGTTTTTCGTGTAGGACTAGAAATTTGAGCGGGGTTCTCTCTGTTTATACTCTTTAGTATGACGCGCTTGACATAGGTGGCCCACAGCGACTCCCGAAGAGCTACTGATTCCGTTCAATAGCGGTGCGGCTTCATCCTTCTTCCAGGGATGCTCATGTGGGCTGCAGCTCGCTTCTTGCAGGCAGTCTTTTGTTGTGCACTGGAGAGCGTGGTGATTTAATAAACCGGATGGAATTCAACTTTGAAATCTGTGTTAGGGAAAGCGCTTTTCACAGGCAATCGGTGATAATTTTAGTTATCACAGCAACAGTTGCATATTCGTGTAATTTTCAATAGTGACATTTTGAAAAATGATAATCTTAATTTAAAAAGATTCGTTGAAAAAATTCCTATCGATTGGCGTATTCAGAATTAAAATCCATCATCTATGGATGATCAGACCACTCTCATGCCGCGCCCGACATTGAAATTGCACCCTCAATGTTGCCATTGTCTTACCCTAACTGATGCCAATGTGTATTTGCGATACATCCGATGGATGACCTTGACAAATGTCCAAAAAATATTCTTGTACAAATTTATGGTGGTCCTAAAAAAGAGCGTTTTGTCGTGATGGTTGAGTAATGCTATTTGTTGAAAACAATGGCGATGGGCACCGATCTTTTAGCAGAGCAAATAAAACAATTTAAATATTTGCCACATGCTACAAGGCTGTAATATTTATATAATTAAAAAACACATCAAAATAAAATACATTACAGTACTTACAACTTCGGTGTTTTCTCGCATTGGAATAGCCAACAGAGCGATTTGCTCTTCGAATGCGCCCGTGCCGTCGCTTGCTTTCACTGATCTATTGTGACTGTGATCATTGACAGCACGGGCGTGTCCGAGAAAACCCAGAAGAACGACAAACAAACACACAACAATATCAAACATTTCTTCAAGGGGCTCGTCGAGTGGTTGCAAACGTAACACTTCCCCCCGTAACACTTCGTGTCAGGAACGTGCAGAAGTTTTACCAGGGGTTTGACATATAGCTGAATACACGTACTCAACATCAAAACAACAAAACATATCATGGTACCGCTGACAACGTTGCAGATGTTCGGTACGCAGCAAACTTAAGCGATATGACAGCCATATCCATCCCCTGAGTTTTACCTCTTCCTGATCGACGGGATTCGATGAAATGTCTATGGTGCCTAACGTGGGCCCGACGCACCATGCAGGAGTACATGTATAATGTCACTTTACTACATCAGCTTGTCGGAAAGCTACCACCGTCGCTTAAACTCAACTGGGCACAGCATCGTCGAACGCTGTCAACGGTCAACCTGGCGACCTTCAGTGAGTGGATTTATGGCTTGGCGGAAGCAGTGAGTGTTGTTGTATTCCCCTTGGCGGTTCAAGACGAGAAGCCAACTCGAAATGCACACGGGAATAAGAAAGGAAACACGTACCTTAACGCCCATTCTGAAACCTTTCATCCTAAAAAGAATTACAGCAGCGACTTCGAAGAACCACCTACGGCAGAATCATCATCGTACCAGGAAGCCTGCCCAATCTGCAGGAGAAGTTGCAAGTCGGCTGATAAGTGCAATCGTTTTCTGGAGCTCTCTAGAGAATCGCGTTGGGCCGCCGTAAGGGAATTTGGCTACTGCCGTACATGTCTGCGCATCCATAAAGGATACTGCAAAGCGAAACCGTGTGGCAAAGACGGATGCACCTACCGGCACCACGAGCTGCTGCACAACGATTCGAAGGACAAGCCGAAAAGCACCGGAACTACGGCCAGGCGTGAGCAATCTCCGCAACCCAGCACTAGCAAGTCTAGATGCAACACCCATCAGACAACCGTCAGCTCAGTATTGTTCCGTTATCTCCCAGTAGTGTTGTACGGAAACAAGAGAGCAATACGCACGTATGCATTCTTAGATGAAGGTTCTGCATTAACGCTGCTCGATCAGGAGCTTGCTAACGAGCCTCAGCTTGATGGCACTGTAAGCCCTCTGTGTCTCCGGTGGACTGGAGGAACTGAACGACACGAGGCGGATTCTCGCATCTATAATCTTCACATTGGTGGTGTTAAGAACGAAAGCAAGAAATTCCACTTGAGTGACGTGAGGACGGTGAAAGAGCTACTGTTGCCCCAGCAAACGATGGACATGGCTGAGTTGTCACAGTTGTATCCACACCTCCAAGATCTGCCGATCGAATCTTATCGCGACGCTCGTCCACGCATTCTTATAGGGATGAAGCACGCCAAGCTCAGTCTTGGCCTGAAAAATCGTGAAGGGGGAATCGGTCAACCAATCGCTATAAAGACGCGCCTCTTTTGGACGGTATGTGGAGGATGGGGTTCCGGGAACGACGCCAACCTACACCATTACACCTTCCACGTATTCCCCTGTAGTGTTAAGTCAGACGAGGACTTACACCAGGCTATGAAGGACTACTTTTCATTAGACAGTCTCGGGGTGACTAAATCGGAGAAGGTGCTTTTATCCGTTGAAGATGAACGAGCATTTTTATTGCTTCAGTCGCTGACCCGTCGTAAAGATAATCGATACGAGTCCGGATTGCTGTGGCGATACAATGACACCCGATTGCCAGACAGTAGATCAATGGCGCTGCGTCAATTGCAGTGCCTAAAGAAACGGATGGAGAAAGACCCGGAAATGTCAAAGATCCTGCAATCAAAGATAACCGAGTATGTGGAGAAGGAGTACATCCGGAAGCTTACAGACGAAGAAATCAACCAGAAGATTCCACGACGCTGGTATTTGCCAATTTTTCCCGTTACCAACCCAAATAAACCTGGGAAGGGGCGAATTGTGTAGGACGCAGCAGCTATCGCTCACGGCATGTCCTTGAACTCAGCGCTCACTTGTTGAGCTCACTTCTCGCAATTCTACTTCAGTTTCGGGAACGCCGCATCGGACTGACTGGTGATATCCGTGAAATGTTCCACCAGGTACTGATCCGAGCCGAAGACCAGTTATGTCAGTGTTTCTTCTGGATAGATGACCATGGAGCCATAGTAGTGTACGTGATGCAGGTTATGACATTCGGGGCTTGCTGCTCCCCAAGCACTGCACAGTTCGTGAAAAATACCAATGCGTAAAGATTCGCGAACAAATATCCAGCTGCATGCGAAGCTATCATGAAGTCTCATTACGTAGATGACATGCTCGTCAGTGTGGATACAGAAGAGCAAGCGATCCAGTTGGCGAAGGATGTTAAGCATGTACACGAGCAGGGTGGCTTTGAGATCCGAAATTGGGTAAGTAACTCGAGAAAAGTACTTTCATCGCTACAGGAGGCAAACACCGACGAAAAATGTCTCGACTTATCTCCAGAGCTGGCCACTGAGAAGGTGTTAGGCATGTGGTGGAACACGAGCGACGACGTCTTTACCTACAAAGTTGGATGGAGCCGCTACGACCAGGCTCTGCTAGAAGGCCAACGACGTCCGACGAAGCGGGAAGTGCTGCGTGTTCTAATGACCATTTTCGATCCGCTCGGCTTGATTTCCCACTTTCTATCGTTCCTGAAGATCCTGCTCCAGCAAATCTGGCGGTCCGGTGTGCAATGGGACGAAGAAATCGACGACAATGCAAACGAAAAATGGAACACATGGCTGCAAGTTCTACCTAGAGTTGAACAGGTTCAAATCCCTCGATGCTATAACTCCAAATACCCCGCGGAAGAAGCCGACGATAGCCAACTCCACACGATGGTGGATGCCAGCGAAAATGGCATGGCCGACGTTTGCTATCTGCGTTTCGTCAATACCGGAACGATCATCTGCTCCATCGGCGCCGCAAAAACAAGAGTCGCACCGCTTAAGTTTTATGTCGATCCCAAGGATGGAACTAGCAGCTGCAGTCCTTGGCGCCCGTTTGGCTCGCGCTGTCGAAGGATCGCTGTCCTGATCCAGATCTGCAGGAAGGTGTACTGGTCAGATTCCCGAGACATCCTATGCTGGATCAACTCGGACCATCGCCGCTATAGTCAATACGTTGGTCACAGGATCAGTGATATTGTAGAGATTTCGGAAGCACGTGAATGGCGGGGGGTCCCGAGCAAGCTAAACTGCGCTGACGACGCTACCAAGTGGAGTAGCCTACCAGATATGTCATCAGATCATAGATGGTTCAAAGGAGCAAACTTTCTCTGGCACGCTGAAGAAGATTGGCCGCCATCGCCAACACTTAGTGGATCTACGGAGACCGAACTTCGCCCTTCCTTTCTGGGTCATCACGCACCGTCGGAACCCGTCATCAGTGTCAGCAAATACTCAAGCTGGAAGAGGCTGGTTAAAGTTGCAGCACTCGTTCATCGTTTCGCGAATAACTGTCGCCTAATGCACGCCAGGAGACCGATTAACACGGCACCACTTACAGCAAATGACATGCTGATCGCCGAGAGTTCGGTGATACGACTCGCGCAACGGGAAACGTATCCCGACGAAGTTGCTGCTCTTCAGAAAGCCAGAGCCGATTCTTCCACAAGTACTGTCCCTAAAACCAGCTCGCTATACCAGTTATCGCCATGGTTGGACGAACGTGGAGTCCTGCGCATGCGAACACGGATTGCTGCTTGTCACTACGCCACCGATGATGCGAAGCAGCCAATCATTCTCAATCGAAATCACCACACCACCACCCTGATCGTAGCATACTACCACCACAAATACCACCACCAAAACCACGAAACCGTTATCAATGAAATACGGCAGAAGTTTCACATCCCTCATCTACGCGCCTGTTACGAGCGAGTACGGAAAGATTGCCAGTGGTGCAAGAACCAGCACACAACACCCAGCCCACCATATATGGCCGATCTTCCGCCAGCCCGCCTCGCTGCATTTTCACGACCATTTACGCAAGTCGGAGTTGACTATTTCGGGCCGGTTGAAGTTGTCGTCGGAAGGAGGGTTGAGAAGCGGTGGGCAATGTTAGCCACTTGTCTGACGGTGCGGGCAATCCACATTGAAGTTGTACATTCGCTTAGCACAAGCTCCTGCATCATGGCGATCCGTAACTTCATTGCACGGCGTGGCATTCCCCAGAAGATTTACAGTGACCGTGGTACGAACTTCATCGGTGCAAATCGGGAACTGAAGCAAGCCAACGAAGCAGTAAACCAACACGAACTGATGAGAGAGTTCACGAGCTCTGGGATTGAGTGGGTGTTCAACCCACCTCTGTCACCACACATGGGCGGTAGCTGGGAGCGATTGATTTGCACCGTCAAGAACAACTTGATGGTTGTTTGTTCGTCGAAGAAGACGTCCGATGAAGTATTCCGCAATCTGCTAACTGAAGTGGAGAATACGGTCAACTCGCGTCCACTAACTCACGTGCCAATTGATGAGGATTCGGCCCCAGCGTTGACTCCGAATCACTTCCTGCTTGGATCGTCCAGCGGTTCGAAACCGATCACATGCCTCGATGATAGCGGCGCAGCCCTGAGACAGAACTGGTGTACGTCGCAAATTTTAGCGAACCAATATTGGAAGCGTTGGGTGTCGGACTACCTTCCAGAAATCACTCGCCGAACCAAGTGGTTTCGTCATACAAAACCGATCGCCGTGGGCGATATTGTAGTCATCGCTGATTGCAACATGCCCCGCAATTGTTGGCCGAAGGGTAAAGTCATCAGCACCAAAGTCAGCCAAGAAGACCAGGTTCGGTCCGCAACCGTGAGGACAGCGAGTGGCGTATACGATCGCCCGGCGACGAAGCTTGCTGTTCTAGACGTATGGTGCGACGGAGAGTAAGCCAACCAGGGGTTGTCGTACCCTGGGGGGAGTGTTGGCCGCACTGGCCTGAGCGCACCTACCGTGTCAGAACATCCCTGCAGTGGGTTTGACAGCGGAGTGACAGGTACCGATCTGACACCGGAAGAGTAAGCAAGAGGATAAAAAGATAGAGCCACACGATTGGAATCGAAAATTATAACATTCTCAGTCCTAAATGTATCTTATGCATCTATTATTAAATTGAACTTAAATTAATCTTAAATTCGTGAACCTAGGTGCTAAATATTAAAATTAACCGTGAAATTGTTTGAGCCGGTAAGCTGAGATCACTTAAAACTATCTTAAACGAAACTTAATTGCTATTAGTTATAATTAGGTTACCCACAACAATAACACCAGCTTTGCAGTAGTGCCGCAATTCTATTAGACACTACAATCGGTGAGAAACTTAAACTACATTGTTTCCTCGAAAATTACTATTAATCTACTTAATTACGTAGGATATTGCCGTCAATTGCGTTTCAAAGGTCACGAGAGGATTAAACCATATTAATCTTACCCTACGAAAGCCAATCGGTAAGGTCATACATAGGTACAGTAATAAACACAACAAACGCTAAACTCTATTACCATTAGGACAACCACAATAATCAGGTCGAGAACCCACTTAAATCCCAGCCGGGAGTTATATGCTAAAGGAACTAAACGTAAGTCTTACCGACTAAAATTTCCATCTAAACTTACATCTATAAGGCACAAATACTGAATTTAATTGAAACTTTTATGAAACACAAAATTGATAACTAATATTGATCACAAATGTCCTGCATCTTACAGGAAAATTATATTCTCCCAAAACCGAATATTGCGTTTTATTGCCGTCGGTGGAGAATTATAACATCGGAAAATTCCTATTGAAACGATTTTCAACACTGTTAGCTCCTTTTATGGATGCTCATGTGCACTGCAGTTCGCTGCTTGCAGGTAGCCATTCGTTGTGTACTGGAGAACAGTGTTCAACGCCACGCGCCGAAAGCACTGCTGCTGCAGATGCCGACGACCATACATCACCTCACACCTCCGAATCCGATCAGCGGTTGAGGGCAGCCTTGATAGCTAGCTGCTTGCGGGGAGCCTTTTGTTGTGTACTGGAAAACATCACCACTTACCACTCGGGGATTGAATAAACACCGTTTGGTGATACTGGATGGAATTAAACTTTGAAATCTGTGTTAGGGAAATCGCTTTAGAAAAAAAAACAGTTGCGCAACAGTCGTGCAATTTTCAATAGTAACATTTAAAAAAATGGTAAAGCCTTAAAATAAAAGGTGCGTAGAAATATTTCTGATCGATTGGTGATAAAATTATTGAAATTGGTCCAGGGGCAGCTGAATAATTAACGTTCAAAATCTTTCATAATTTTGTTACATGTTCCATTTTCGGTTTTCACACAGTGTACCCCCATATAGAAATTACAGACGTTGTTTACGTTTTCGACATTGGTCCTTGGGGACGCTCAGTGTTGATATCACGAGAATTTTATTTTGACATATCGATGGCAAATAGATTGATGCAAAATTTGAAATTTTCGCTCCACAGTGTTCAAACGGTTTCAAACCGGGTCCTGATTAGCCTCCGAAAGTTTAAACTCATCTGATAAGAAACTGACTTGGCACAAACCATTTGAAGTTTATATTGAAATTACTATGGGAAAACAAAACTTTTTGCTCCTTGTCTTCTAGCCTTTCTACATATTGTACTGTAAACAAATTCTTTTGCTATTCTTATGGGAATTTTTATCAGCTACAACTTTGCAGAAAATTGGTTTTCAGACGTCCAATTAAATAGTTATTAATTGTTTAAAAGATTGATAATCTTATGGCATGATTAAGCAACTGTATTTTGGGCAACACTGTATTCTGCAGTGTGACATAGTAGCCATGATTTTTGACCTATATTCTACGCGCCATAAACACCCCTGCGCTTCGGTTAGAGAGCGTATAGGGCGTCGTTGTGCCAATCTGGGCGTGGCACATTTCGAGTATGAGAGAGTAATTGCAGTTAGATCAAAAGTGCCTGAGAAAAATGCAAGTACTTTCGCAGATTACCCGAAGTTGCGATAGTGAAGGTATGATCACAGAAAAGCAGACATAACACTCTTAAAACGTTCATCAAAATCGTTTTTAACGGTCAATTTAAATGTTTCTTAGTTGGTAGTGCTGCCATTTGTGGTGCACACAATCAAATCCCTAGCGTTTGACGTTTACACACTACTACCATCTGTTGAGTGTATTGCCCATCAAAGTATATACGACAGATGGTAGTAGGGTTTACAATTATAAATGTTCAATGTGTTGTGTCTGCTTGTCTGTGATATAACATTGAGGTAACGTTAGGATAAATTCAAAACATTGAGAAATATTACACAACACTTTCAGAAATACTTCACTTCGCAACCGATGAACCATTCTGACGGCCATACGAGTACCCAAGTAACCATATAGTCGCAATATAGCTTGTATATTCTTACTTTGCTTGAGTATGGTAAGTTGGGGAATCTGATGAAACTGTCACTTCTTGAAACTGATCCCTTTCGTATCTCTTTCATTCTACTTTCGCAAACGGAGCGCTCGATGGACGAGTGACTTTGGACGTGAGCCTCGTCCCAGATCACCATGGCAATTCAATAACATATGGTGGACATCAAACCGACCAAAAAACGCGGAATCACATTAGAACCAACCAACCAAGGACGGTCTATGGAAGGAAATTACCGGTGAAGCACGGAATGAAATACGAAGCGTTAGAGAAAAAGTCCAAGGGATTCCAAAAGAAGCAAATAACAACGGCGGAAGAGCAGAATATGGTGAGAGCTTTCCATTTATTAAAAAAAAAAAAATATCAAAATTACACTAAATACATGCCAGGGTTGAAAAGAAGATTTTCGAACCTGGAAGTGTGTATGTATCAGCAATATCCATTTGATAACGGTGATGCATACATGCGGGGCTTATTGTAAGTGAAAGTAACCTCGGAATGGGCGTGGCTCTCCAGACATTCTGAAATGGGTTGCTAGATCTGCAATAGAGCTATCACTTTCTAACACCCGGAATAAAGCTGTCCACAATGACCATAAATGCGACATTGTAGAGAGAGTTCTTCCATAATAACACTGCCGGCCAGTGGGGGTTAGAGGGAATACACACACACACATATTCTACGCGCCATAAACACCAATGTTGCCTGCTGAACAGTTGATCGAGCATAATCATAATTCATAAGACATCAGTGACTTGAACCATTTATAATTTTTGTTCCTTTCATTTGAACAAAAAGTGATTTTGAGCAAAGTTGTAGCTGAAAAAATTTTCAACAAGCTCAGCTATTATTTTCTTAAGTAGAGTAAACTGGTGAATTTTGAGATAGATATGATCCAAAATTATGGTTTCTCCATAGTAATTCCCATTTTCAAATGGTTTGTGCCAAGTCAGTTTTCACTAAATGAGTTCAAATTTTGGGAGGCTAATCAGGGCCTAATTTTGAATCGTTTGAGCGCTGTGGAGTGGAAATTTCAAATTTTGCATCTGTCGAATGGCCAACTATACCAGTTATACCACTGAGGCAACACAGAAAGGGGTCGACTTTTAGTCAGTTATTTTGCAAGAAGTTCCACATATGCTATGTGCTTCAAGGTAAGGAAGGCGCCTAACCGAATCGATAAACATAATACGGTGGCCAAATCCCGCGTCAGGAAGCTGTACCGCGAGTGGTTGGTGCAGTCGAAATGCATCGTAATAGACGACGAGACGTGCATTAAAGCAGACGCCAAGCAGATCCCCGGCCTGGAGTTTTTCGTTGGAAAGTCCCGCCTGGATGTTCCGGAGAAGTTACGAAAGAAGAAGGTCGACAAATTTGCCAAGAAGTTCTGAATGTGGCAGGCGATCTGTGAGTGCGGCAATTTCTGTTTTGGCAGGATGTGGCATCGTGTTATTACGCGAAACCGGTGACAAGCCACAAATGTTATTGTTGTGGAGGAAAATCCGTCAAACTCGCCAGAATTTCGCCCAATAGAACAATTCTGGGCGGATATGAAGGGCAAGCTCCGAAAAACAGGGAAGGTCTTAAAAAACGACAAGGATTTGAAGAAAGAGTGGACGAAAGTGTGTAGGAAAGATGGCGCAAGTGTTTCACAGGATTTGATGGGTAGCGTTATGTCCAAGGTGCGAGCATTTAGCCTAGGAGAGGAGGTTGAATAAACCAAATTTGCAAAAACATAGCTAATATGTGTTTATTTATTCCCTGAGAATATCTAAAATATTCGACTTAAAATGAATTTTTGGAGATAATTTTTAACTGTTGCATTTTTCTCGAGCGCAATGTCATTAACACTTTACACATTTACTTACATTACACTTACACATTTTACAAACACATTAACACTTAACACTTTTCTGGATTTTTTCATGATTTTTTAAGCTATTAAATTTTTTTATCGTGTATAATTTTCAAAGAAAAGATTATTTTTTGCAACACCTTTGTCTCAGTGGTGAGGTCTGTGAAGATTGGTATTCTTCTGGGATACTGTGTTCTTAACTTGTTTTGTTTCGTTGAGTTTGAAAATCCATGTGCAACGATCAAAATTCCTTCATTTGAAAACGAAATGGAAATTCCGCTTCTAAGTCTGCTGCACAGGGAAACATTCTTTTTTCGTATTCCCAAGCTCCCTAGTACTTTTATCACAAAAGTTTAATCCATTGTATAAACAAAATATTGAAATTCTTTGATTTCCCCACACATTGATTGCAAAGCCCTCATTCCAATCAACTATCTATCTCTATCTACAACCCGACAAAAAAAAAACTCAGTCCTTCTCACTCACTCCCCGCAGAAAGAAAATCAATCTCTGTAACCCGGCACTAAACTCTTCCTGCCCTTCCTGGTTACCTTGCCACACCCAACCTCCGTATTTTCCCGCAAACAAAGCTCCCCATTCGCATACTTTCAATTTCACACCCTGA